AGGGCGATAGATCTTTGGCTGGAAAAGGGAACTTACAACACTAGAACACACACTATGTTGTATTAAAAGTACAGTTGTTCCAGCATCCGACACGTACATTTGGGATTGCCTTGTTGGTGATGCAGCGAACAACCAAACTAAGAAACAAGCGAACTAACGAACAAAAGAACAAACATACAAACAAACAAAAAAGCAAGCAAGAAACGAGTTAAAGAACAAATAAACAGACAAACAAGTAAACAAACACAGGTTGTCCGAAGAAACATCCAATTATATTATGTTGAAGAGCAAAATACCTGCTCTGTGGCTCTTTTCCAGAACACAGCCAGTAGGAACACCCAGCACCAAGGGGGAGTAATGCAGGATGTGATCGCTTGAAGATAATTCCACAGTTGTCCCCCTTGGGCCTGCTGCATTATCGGAATCCATACAATGCTGAGGAGACATTATTTGGATAGTATGTGGCTGCTAAGGTATTGTGTTTTGTTGAGATAGAAGGGGAAGTGGGGGGGGGGGGAGAAGAGAGAGAGAGAGAGAGAGAGAGAGAGAGAGAGAGAGAGAGAGAGAGAGAGAGAGAGAGAGAGAGAGAGAGAGAGAGAGAGAGAGAGAGGGAGAGACAAAAAGACAGACAGACAGACAGACAGACGGACAGACAGACAGACGAAACTATATTTTAGTTAGTTTTAGTAGAGGTTCTACGGCGCTCGTAACTGCATAAGATCATATGAGCGCCAAACGAAACTATCTAAGACAGTCATCCAAACAGATAGACAGACACACAGACAGACAGAAACAAAAAAGCAACACAAAAAACACCAAAAAAAACCCCACACACAACAAAAAACCCAAACAAACAAACGAACAAAACAAAGTCAAATACAGAGAAAAAACAAGAATGAAGGAGATAGATAATATACTTGAAAGTTAGCACAATTTTTCTGTATTCACAACCGGTATTTCACCTGGTAGCAATCATCACCACCACACACACCCTGCCCACAATCATGAGCTCGGCCTGTGGCGCCCTCTTCCGGAATCGCCTCCAGATGTCCATGGTGAACATGGAAGAGGCGGAGTTGAACACTGACGTCAGCGTGCTCATGATGGCGGACAGGAAAGCTGCCAACATCACACCTCGGACTCCTGTTGACAGATGGTTGTTTTAGAGTTGGTAAAGGTGATAACAGTCGGTTAAGATAATAAAAGTCGGTAAATGATACAAGTGTGTGTGTGTGTGTGTTTGTTGATTTGCTAGTGTATGTATGTGTATAGGTGTGTGTATGTGTTTGTGTGTATGTGTGTGTATGTGTGTGTGTGCATATTTGTGTGTGTGTTTGTGTGTATGTGTGTATGTGTGTGCGTGTTTGTGTGTGCGTGTTTGTGTGTGTGTGTGTGTGTGTGTGTGTGTGTGTGTGTGTGTGTGTGTGTGTGTGTGTGTGTGTGTGTAGAAAAGATGAAGTTGATTAACAATTGTGTTTAATGGGAAAGAAAATAAAGTCAATATCAGGAACAAAACGATACAACAACGACCACAACAGCTACGACAACGACGACAATGGCGATAACAAGAACGATACGACCAAAACACAGAGCACAGGACCTGGCGGCATCTTCCGGAGCACCAGGAGCGGGTAAGCGATGTTGGAACAGCCGGCCTCGTTTCCACACACACGATCGCACGTCACAGGGTCAGAGCAGGCCACTTCATCTGATTGGGGTGGGGGGGGGGGGGGGTCAAAATGAGTACAATGTTATTGTTGAAATGGTCATATTGTTTTAGTAGAGGTTTTACGGCGCTCGCAACTGCATTATGTCGTATGAGCTCAAGAAGATTAGAGGTGTTACAAGAGAGTAACAAACATAATAAAAAAGAAGAAGGGGAGATAAGGACGATAGATGTGAAAGGGTCAGAGAAGCGAGGTAGGTAGGTAGGTAGGTAATAAACAAAGATAATAAATAAATAATAAATCTTACTTAATTGATCCGTGTTGGGAAATTTGGGATACAAAGGCAAATATATATACTAATGAACACATAATCAAACACTCAAATATACATACTAATGAACACATAATCAAACACACAAATATACATACTAATGAACACATAATCAAACACACAAATATACATACTAATGAACACATAATCAAACACACAAATATACATACCAAGAATACCAACTACACAATGTTACACCAATGTAGAACAATTGGTCCCTTCTAAACACAAGGGGGCTATCCCGAAAAATACTGTTTTGAGAAAATCGAAGGTAAAGATTTTGCCCCTTGTTCAGTTTCTTTAAAAGACGAGGAGAGTTTTCTCTATAACAAAACACAAATACACAACAATGAAACCAAACTTCTCTTATAGGTTGGGCAATCCCCATTTTTGGCGTAGGTTAAGATTTCTGGAAACTCCCGAAATCTGGGTTAGCCTGCTTGTCCTTAAAAGCGACCATATTTCACGAACATGCCATTGCTTGTCACCACTTCGCAGCACCTTGGTTTTTAAAAAAAAACTAGGATTGTCGTGTCTTGGTCAAGGACACACCCCCTTGACCATCCATCTAAACCCCTTGTCACCTACCCTTGCTCACTCTGCCACTGAATGTCGATAGAATGATAGATCACTATGGCGCGCAAATGAAGGGCAAAACATGTCGTCCTAGCTATAGTCGAATGGTGGGTGGTTGGCGGGTGCTCTGGTGTAGTTTGCTCCTTTTTTGCTACAAAAAAATATGTCGTCTTTATCTCCCCTCCTTCTTTTCTGTGTTTGTTTCTCTCTTGTAACTCCTCTAATCTTCCGCACTTATATGACCTTATTGTGTTGCAAGTGCCGTAAAACTCTTACTAAAACTAAAACATAGTCGAATGCACACCCACTGTTTCCCGCCTCTCCCTTCACGTGGTTCCAAATAAAGTCGAATGGTCGCTTTTAAGGACAAACGGGCTAACCCAGATTTCAGGGGTTTCCAGAAATCTTGACCTACACCAAAAGTGGGCATTGCCCTACCTATAGGAGAAGTTTGGTTTCTTTAGTGTGAATATGTGTTTGGTTATAGGGAAAACTCTCCATGTCTTTTAAAGAAACTGAACAAGGGGCAAAAACTTTAACTTCGATTTTCTCAAAACAGCATTTTTGCGGGATAGCCCCTTGTGCTTAAAAGCGACCAAATGGTACGTATCACGGTAAACCGGAACTGCTTCAGAGTGAACCACCTGAAATAGTGTGTACAAGTCTTTGATCCTAGCTAAGAGACTAAAACAAACCAAACAAAAACAAAACAAAACACCCCCCTCAACAAAAAAAACCCCAACAAAAAACCCAAAAAACCCTCAACCCAAACCAACAACAACAAAACCACCAAGCCACTACTCTGCGGCGACTAGAAGAAGTGATGTGCTTGTATTGCCTGTGTTCCAATATTGTGCAACATGCTGTGCTGACGCCGTTTCTAACTTTGTATTGCATTTTCTCGCTATTGTAATCCAAACTTCCCAACTGAGATATAAAATAGAACATGTTCCCCCCCCCCCCTTCCCATTTTCCGACAAACCTGGGAAGAGTATTCTGCTGACCATTCCGGGGATGACCCAGAAGAAGAAGACTGTGACCTTGAGAACGGCTGCGAAGACAGCGCCTGCCTTGCTATGGCCCATAGACTTAGCGGACAGGCAGCGCTGCACCATCATCTGAGAGCGAAGGATACTTCCTTTACTTCTTTGTTAGACGGTGACGCAATAATTACTTTTTTTTTTTTGCAATACAGAAATACACTGGTAGGTGTATATTCGCGCACTCGCTCGCCCGCACGCACGCACGCACGCACAGGCACGCATGCAGGCATGCACTGACGCACGCTTGTATTCAGGCACGCGCGCACGCACGCAGGCACACACACACACACACACACACACACACACA